CGTGTGCTCTTCCGATCTAACTCTCGTACAAAGCCTTCGTAAGTAGAATTTATATGTTAACCTTCTTTTACTCGAATTTCGATAAGTCGAAAATTTTATAACTTGAAGAATTTAGCTCTTCTCTTGAGATTCGAGTTATCGAGATTTTATTGCATATGTGTATATATACATATATATATATATATATATATATATACACACGTTGTAACAATGCGAAAGATGTATTATTATGTCAACTTTCATACTCTAGATGGAGTCGGACATAAATATTCTCTCGTGTTCAAAAATATGCGTACAATTATATATATATATAATTAAAAAGTAAAATTATATCGAATACTCATGTAAAACAACACAATTATAGACCTTGTTTCAACTAAATTTAAAAGTAGTTTTAACTAGTAAAATCGGGTTTTGTTGATAACATATATATATATAGTTAAAACTACTTTTAAATTTAGTTAAACGAGGTCTATAATTGTATTATTTCACATGAGTATTCGATGTAATGTTACTTTTTAATTATATATATATATAATTGTACGCATATTTTGAATACGAGAGAATTAATATTTATGTCCGACTCCATCTAGAGTATGAAAGTTTTTACTAGTAAAATCGGGTTATGTTGATTACATATATATATATATATATATATATAGTGAATTTGGATTTTAACGGATTATGGATTTTGACGGTTATATATACATATATATAATATAACTGGGCGATTTCATCTTGAATATGACTTTAACGGTTTCATACCATGCGCCGCGCGCTGCATGCGCGCTGTTTCGTGTTCCCTTTCCGAGAGCAGCGACAGCCCGCAGCCGAGCCGACACTGGTCGACACTGCCGACAGCACTTGTGCATCGGGTGTATATGTGTGCTTCAGATCAGAGCCGACTAGCCGAGTCAGCCGAGATATGCGACGGGATATTGTTGTTTGTTGATGGTAGACGCGCTTCGGGCTCCGGAATTATTACTTTCTCACGTTATTACGAGATTTTTGGGGAAGAATGTCTTACCAATTGTATAGAAACACAACGTTAGGAAACACGCTGCAAGAGAGTCTCGACGAGCTGATACAGGTGAGTATAACGTAATGGACGTTAGAAGATAGGTTAGATTTCGCACTTTCGGCCGTATACGAAGAGAAATTAATTCGTTTCGAGTGAACGATAAACGTAATTTGCGTCGGCTAAGTTTGCTGTTTACACACTTTAATGGAATTCATTTGCGCTGATTAAATCAAAAGGGCGATAAGCAAATCTTGCAATAAATTCCGATGCATGTGTTCTTTAGGCAAATAAAACCAAATCCTATTAGATAATTAGAAATTATGTTATATTTTGTCTATAATGCATCGGCAAGCATTTTTATTATTTTATTATTTATCTAATAATGATAATATATGTTCCAGTATGGGCAAATAACGCCACAGCTAGCAATAAAGGTGTTGCTGCAGTTCGACAAAGCTATTAATCAAGCTCTAGCAACGAGAGTTAAATCGAGACTTACATTTAAGGTAAATCTCTTATTCGAATAATCTTCCTCACCTGACTTTATTGTACTTCGTTTGGAAAGAATAATCTGATATGAATGAATTGGCTTGTTACAGGCTGGCAAATTAAACACATATAGATTTTGTGATAATGTATGGACTTTTATGCTAAATGATGTTGAATTCCGTGAGGTTCAGGAAGTTGCGATAGTAGATAAAGTAAAAATTGTTGCCTGCGATGGGAAGAGTAAGTATTGATACTAATAGAAATCCACAATGTTTTTAGCTTGTTTTATATAATTAGTAGCGTCTCGTTTGACCATGTTGCGACTGACCACGGCCACTCACAGCGGCCTAGAGGTTTGCCACTGTTCAAGCGCTGTGAGTGGCTGGTGGTCAATCGCAACATGGTCAACCTGACGGTGCCACTCTTTTAATTACGTATTAATTATTTCTATCTAGGTTAACTGTAAGTGTGCCGAGTAACTCAAATCAGTTATTAAGCAGGCAATAATTTTAAGTTTTTTTTTATCATATTATTTATTAGTTTCCTTAGTTTTCAGAATCCATCTTTATAATATAAATATTTTTTTTTTTAGCATTGGACGTGGATGGAGCAGCGAGACGATAACAAATTTAGCGTTTTATATTACATGAAGAAATCTTTCTTATATTGTCAAAATAAACTCTTTTTCGTGATAAATAACAAGGCAAATAAGACAAAATAATATAAAAAATAGGAATAAATTTTCTTTCCTGTAAAACATTGAACTGCTGCAGCTAGTAGTACATCAAATTTTAGAAGATATAATTTTTGTGACTACATAAAACCATCACTTAATTTGCATAATAAGCACAATACTTTTACTTGCATATTTTACGTTTAAGTACATACAAGAATTTAACATCAAAATGTTTTAATTAATATTAAAATATGAAAGTTGTGTTGTTAAAAGTTTCTGAAAAACCTGACTAAAATTCAAAAAGGGGCATTATTATTATTATTATTATTAATGTATAACAGGTTAGCTAAGATTAATTCATAAATAATTTCATATAAAGGATACAGATGGAGAAGACGATAATGTATGATTAACTTACCATAATTTATTAATAAGCAAATACATTAAGTTTGTTATAAGAAGTAATGTACCTAGACTTGTTATTGTAAGTACTGTGCTTTCTCTGATATTTCTATTATGTGGCATGGAGTTCAATAAACAGAGTACAACTATATTTATAATATATTGACCATCCAGAAGGAAGCAAGGCACGACGTTAATGATTGCCAACCCTGCTGAAAATACCGTGATGTATTTGCAAAGTAGTGCAAATGACTCGGGTAATTTGGGATACAGGAAAGAGTACTTTGGCACCCAGTCCGATACGTCAACGGTCCTGTAAATGTCCGCCGGATGTCCGAAGAACAACACATCCTTGCCAATTTTCCTCTTTATTTGTATGATCTGTGGTTTTAAATTGTTTTAAAAATAACGATTTTGAAAGTCTATTTTCTTTTACTGTTACATCTTCTGTTTCTACCTACCTTTGTCACATTATCTAAAGAGGGCTTCATACAGTGAGTGTCTTGAGATAAGCATTCGTGACTAGCTTGACAGAAATATTGCGACTGATTAAGCATTGCCCTTACTGGAAGACATGAATGCGGGGGTAAATGGAGAGGAGCGGTTTGCGGTCCTTCGATGTATTCGAAACACAGATTGCCATTTATTTCACTGTCAGTTGTACAGCAGTTCACCGCGCCGTTCGTTTTCTGCTTAGCTGGCACTGACTCGTCATAATCCTGCGAAATAAACTGTTGTCAGATGTTGCAACAAGATTTTAAAAATTAAAACATACTATAATACAAATACCAGCTAAAAGTACTAAATGAAATATAAATACAAGTACTAAATAATGAAATCAAATATTAGATGAAGATACTAGACAAAATGTAAATATAGGTAAACAATAAAATCACGTCATAAGAAAATTACCTGGATAAACGATTGCTTAACGCAATAGCCAAGAGCAGGCTGCTGTACTGATTGCAGCATACAATCGTACCAATCCTCACTGTGCTTCACAGGACAATTGTTTAATTTGTATATTACATCACGTTCCAGAAGACCAGTTGGTCCTAACACAGGTGAATTCTATAACAAAAGAGTAACAAAATAAAAATACGTTTTAACAAAACTAGTCTCTTAATCTAATCTCTTTTTTTAATCTCTTTTATTTTTTTTGTAATCTCTTTTTTTTGTCACTCACAGGTAAAATAGTCTTCACGTAAACTCCAGAGCCAATGCTATAAAGCGGTGCCCACAGCCATGTAGAAAACACAAGAACTGCTGCAGCTATTGTAGCAAGAATAATATTATGCCAAATCCCCGCACACGCAATGCGTAGCTGATTTTTTAATGGCAATGCGAATAATTGCTCGTTGCTTATGTGCACGTAAGCTATCGGAATTGTGAAGACAATAACGATTCCTAGGCCAAATAACTGTACATCTTCTCTCGCTGCAGCAAGGGCGTGCCCTAATTCGTGAACTATACTACATATTGCTAGCGTTGCCGCATAATAGCCAATTTCATTGAAAGGAACATCCACGCCTGGTAACTAAAACGTATAAAATTACGAAATTAAATTGCACAAAAAGAAGTAGAGAGATTAAAGATGTGAAAGATTTTTAAAACCTATACTAAATTTAGAAATTAAGTAAAGTATCATATTAATTCTAATGTATTACAGTAAAATATATAAAGCTGAACTCGAATACATCAATTCTTTCATTCTATATAATCTTTCATGTAGTAAAGATTATCAAGAAGTATAAAGCTGGACTCTAATACATCAGTTCTTTCGCTTCTATAAAATCTGCATTACTACATAAAATCTCTAATGTAGTAAAGACTATCTCGAAAAGTATATCTGGCCCTTATAAAAACACTTTTATGATCTACCATGGGTTCTAATATAGCTCCTGAGCTGACGTCACTCGAGGATCCAGCTAGCCACATGTTGAACGTCATCTTCAGGATAATGACAATAGCTATCGGCAAGAGTATAATGCTTATGATGACACCGGCGTTGAACCAAGCGGTCCAAAACCTGGAGCGGTCCGTCCCCCATTTTATTATTTTGCGATTGAAAGCGGTTGTAAACCATTTCACTCTCAGTATCTGTATCTCCAGGCCGGTGTTCTCCAGAAAGTAGAGGTACGGAAAATGCGAGCAGGACTGAAAAATATGTGAGAAGTTATCCTCTACTATGACGAACTTGTAACCCACATTATGAAATTGAGAGTTTAGTTGACGAAAATTTCATGACAGAAAAAACGTGAATGTCAGTGACAACCAATATTTTCTCGAGCCCAGGGAACCTTAGTACGTGTATTATAAACATTATTTCATTGCAACGGGCTTTTTTGCATTGAACTTTCGTGCGTGATGTAAGAGTAAAAAACGTCATAAGAGAACTGTATGGATTTACCTTAAAAAGCGTATCAAAAAAGAATAGTGAGCAATGTATCAGGGCTATCGCAATTAGCACGCTCAAGGCATCCATTTTTTCAGTTTATTTCAACTTGTTTGTTTGGATCTTGGATGCCGGCTTCCCTCATAACTACATCGCTGCGTATCTCGCTAAATGCAGCTGAATGTGTTGAGTTGAGTGAGCTACGTCATGCACACAAGCACCAATCCTCGGACAAGCACTTGTTCACCTAATATATTCGATAATTATATCCCTAGACACCACGTTGCGGAATGTAACGTCTCTGACGCCGTTTTCATAATAATAAACAATGAATCAATTACGATAACGTTTTCATTATTGCATTATCAATGTGACTGCGAGCTTTGTCTTTTTTTTTTATTTAACAAACAAAATTTGTTAATTGCGCGAACGCTTATTCATCCGAAACATGTTCACAGACTCGCGTGCATTCGTGTAGCCAGAGAGAAGCATGAGAGCGGCCATCCCGGCGTGTTCCGCGACACCGGTAAAAGTTTTGACCTCACCGTATGTACATTAGCGCCAATTACTCCACTTTTGAGATGGAACTACGTATGTATGTACACAACCAATGACACTGGCTTGTATTGGGAAAAAATTAATTTTTTTCCCTCGAATACCAAATGGGCGTGTATTGGGAAAAAATTAATTTTTTTCCCTCGGATACCAAAGGGAGGGTTATTGGAAAAAAATTAATTTTTTTCCAATGCAAGCCATTGTCATTGGCTGTGTACGTAGGTTCCATCTCAAAAGTGGAAGCAATTGGCGCTAATGTTACGGGGAGGTCAAAACTTTTACCGATATCGCGGAAAACGCCGGGATGGCCGCTCTCATGCTTCTCTCTAGCAATACGCATAGGGAATTTCGCAATTCGCATACGAATGTGCGCGGCATGCGAGAAGGGGAGCAGTGTCAGTGGAGTAGAGGTGGAACTTGACAAACCCGCACATCTTGACACATCCCGATGCGTCCTGATGCATCCCTCCGCGCGCATTCACTGGGCTGCTGTCACTTTCACACCGCTTTATCACTGACCGCGTGAAATCGCGACTTTACACTCGCGATCGACGCGTCGCGACGCGCGGTACGGTATTTTCGGTGCGCGCGTATGTGTGTACATGTAACATGTCAGATCTCGTGGAGAATCAAGTTCAATTGCTGCTCGCCGGACAAGCGTTAGAGAACGATGACATATGCAGTGTACACACTCTCGCGAGTGACACGACAGGTATGTCAACGCCTTCGCATCACTTTGTAATGCTGCAGCATACGTATACCGAGTCCTTTCACCTTCTCTCTCTCTCTCTCTCTCTCTCTCTCTCTCTTTCTCGCAAAGAGAAAGAAAGATTTGATACAGCTGAATCAATGTACAGGTGCAAAATCAGGTCAACTAACAGCACACGTTCCCATCTGCTCGAAGACGGTGACGTACATAGTCGCCGCTGTTGTCATAAATGACCAGGGCGAGGTGTTGATGATGCAGGAGGCGAAGGCCTCCTGCACCGGCAAGTGGTACCTGCCAGCCGGTCGGGTGGAGAAGAACGAGAATCTCATAAGCGCCGTGAAGCGGGAGGTCTTGGAGGAGACGGGCCTGGTGATAGCGCCGACGACTTTAATACTGGTGGAATGCGCGAACGGCACGTGGTTTCGCTTCGTGTTCACCGGGGACATAGTCGGCGGTACGCTCAAGACACCCGATCAGGCGAACGAGGAGTCGCTGCAAGCGTGCTGGGTGCGAAACATAGACGACCTGCCGTTGAGGTCCAACGACATTCTGTATCTCCTGGACCGAGGCAAAAGTTACGTTTCAAATAAGACTGTTCCCCAACATCCTCATTTGATGCCTGTGATCAAGCCGCATGCGAAACTAACGCTGAGATTAGTAGTCACATCTAAAAAGAGGGCGACGTAAGTATATTATGCAACGTGTGCATTAATTATCTCTGATAAAACTACAATTATATCGTTAAACTATGTTATACTGTATCAACATTTATGATGTAATATTTAAACGAGGTAATACATTTTTATATAAATTTTGTTAATAGGAACAGATTACATGTGCTCATATCTGATACCGAAAAATATAATCCACCAATTTGTGAACTTAATCCAAGTCGTAGTTTACTGTCTACTCTGCATAGCTTTATGATGGTGAGTATATTAGAAGAGCATTATATTTTACGAGTACATAAATATTAGTAAACTTAATTAAATATCAAGCATATAATATGTTGTATGTATTTTGCAATGAAAAGTTGTCATGAAAACTAAAAAAATCAGTCCTTGTTACACATAAAAATAATTTGTAGATATATAAATTATTCTTCAACAAAAAGATAAAAATATATTTGCTATATATATATTTGAACATTAAACATAGTTTGTGAAAGATTTTACTACGAGTGTATATTCAGGTATTGATTTATATTTTTAGGAAATATTTGGAAACGACGTAGCGCCGCACAAGCCACATGGTTTACTGTCTGTAGAATTTAGTGGTGGACAAGGAGGAGATGGTCTGTGCTTAACGTTACTGGTATCCTTCAAATTACCATTGGAAGACGTGCCTATAATCGGGAAATACATCTGGCATGAACTTTCTGAAAATGTAGCAGAAAGTCTCGCAGCCCGTCTGCCAAGGAACATGACTGTCCCTCTGAAGGTCGTACGTTAATGCACGTTCGTACATTGCATACGAATGTTTTATTAAGCAACTATTTTGCTTGACGAAAGTGAACGGTACAACATACAAGAGAATTTTTTCTACTAAAATCAAGTTTATAACGTTAACATTATAGTTACCCTAGTCTACACCAATGACTTAATAACAGATAATTAATACATCTCAGATAACATTCCATATTTTTATCTAATATAAATAAGCTAATAATTAAATGACGAAACTGAAGCATTAATCTTAGAATAGTAACATATATTGGGATCAAATTTCTCTTCTTAAAAGTTTAATCTATTCCCAGCATAAAATGAATATAAAATTGTAATGTATTAAACGGCATAGATACAATAATATAATAGTATAATGTACAATAAAAATTTCGAACAGTATGTTTACCATATGTATATTTGAAGTTGAAATTTGATAGTTAAAAATTAGATTGTGTATATATAATTGTGTAAAGAAATTATTAAAAACCGTTTGTTTAAAAATTTTATTAAACATTACTACATAAAAAAATATTTAGAAATGTTAAATAGATTTGAAATTTTATATTTGCATCAAAAGTTACAAAATCTTTAACATATCTCATTTATACAAATTATATCATTCAACTAATATCTGCTATATTGGAATAACGTAAAAAAAGTAGAGATAATTTATTGAAATAAAGTACATAACAATAATAAGTAAGAACAAGAAAGGTTTTAACAAACAATTTATCACTTATTTATATCAAATTGCACATATGAGCTCAAAACAAGATTGAAATTATATTTTTATTATTTTTATACATGTGCGCTTTGTATACTTAATGCTAAGTACACTTTGTGTACTTAAAATACCCTAATAATAATTACAATAATTTACTTATTTAATTCAAGGGTTATTTAAGTCTGATATTATTGATTATAAAGTATTTGTATAAAATTAATTGAAAGGAGAAATATTGAATATGTTAATTATTTATATAAATAAATGGTGGCAATTTTTTTTATATAAAAGTATTGTTTCTACTGTCCTCTCATATCCTATTTTAGTAACTCAAAAACATCACAGATCATTATAATCATACACCACTTGATCTTAAATAAGTCAACATAAAACAAGTTAATGATTTTTTACACAATGTTACATTTAAGATTTAGGAAGACCATCATGTATCCATATTAAGGTATAAAAATGAACGTTGTTTATCGATTTTACCAGTAAAAAATTGCTCGTTTGCAAGAGCATTGAATGAAAAAAATACTAAAGTGATATTTTTAAAAATTCTTCATGTGCAGGATATCATATGTAACTTATTACAAATCAATATCCATCTCAAATTATTGCAAAACTTTTTGATAGCTCAGGATCTGAGCAACCTTTTAAAATCTAAACAATTTCAAATTTTTAAAGAAATTACATATAACAATAATATACAATACTTTCTTATTGTTAAGGCATCAAGAATTTTTTGTCTAGTTATTGGCAATAATATCAACTTGTAACAAATTATATAATTCATCCTGCATAATAATAATAATGATGATGTATACCTTCAACTAGAAGTAGATGTTAATCTTCCCATAGGGTTTAATACAGCGTCTTCTGTACTTTCATTCTTTATAGGAACCACATTACTAGTATTATGCATTAATTTAATGTCATCGTTGAGCGTTAAAGACACGTTATTTAAATAATTTGAAGAAGCGGTAGCGTCCGCACCGGCGTGCAGTACGTGCTTTTGATTGTTTTCACAGTCAGTCGCGTTCGCGTCCGTACTCGCGGGATGTTTCTTCATGTGGGTCGTCAGATTGCCGCTGTGATAGAACTCCTTGCCGCAAATCTTACATTGAAACGGCTTAATCCCGGAATGTATCCTCTCGTGTATCGACAGGTTACCACTGTGCCGAAACTCTTTACCGCACACGTTACATTTGTAGGGCTTCACGCCCGAGTGAGTTCTCAGGTGAGTGGAGAGATTTCCACTGTGGCTGAACATCTTTCCACATATCTGGCAGCCGTACGGACGCTCGCCGGAATGCGTTCTCATGTGTATAGCCAAGTTGCCACTGTGCGTAAAACACTTGTCACACTGGCTGCACTTGTACGGCCTCTCCCCGTTGTGCGTTCTCATGTGTATGAACAGATTGCTCTTATGTCCGAACTCCTTGAAGCAAATCTCACATTGGCATTTCAACTTTTTACCCGTGCCAGACTCCGCGGTGCTCTTCGACGGTCTCCCAAGGCGATTGTTTTTCACGGCGGTCACCGATTGCGTCGTTAACGTCTGACTAATATCCCCTACATTTTGCAAATCTTGCGGCAGTTGCGGTTGCTTGTTCTCTTGCACTATGACGGCGTTGCTTGTACTCTGATCACACTGATTACTCGTCTGCATTTGATTGTTGCCGTCCTCTTGCTCGACCGGATAGAATATGCCATTCTGTACGTACGACAAACTTCCAGCCTCCTGAAATTAAAATGTACAAAATTGAACGTAGTGAAATTTTTTACTTGTCAAGCTGTCGAATGCGAAAAGCTGCTCGGAACAGCGTTCGGATATTTACTTCCGCCTGGAACATGGCCTGTTGAGCGTGAATCTCGCTCTTCGCAGACATCTCGCTCGACAGCTGCGTCTGCTCCCAAAATTGAGACAGCTGACGGCTGTGCTTGTACTCGACATCTTGATTGATAAAAGGATACAAGGAACTGTCTGAACTGCTAATCCTACTACTCGCGTTTACGTCCTCTACAGTTGTACATTCGTGCTTAATTTGTATAGGGCTAAACATCTGTAAAACAATGACAAATTCAGTAAACGTGAGAGATATATTACTGCGTTCAGCGCACTAGCGTGAAATGCCATACGAGCGAACTCGCGCGTTCGCTCCCAATTGCGATACGTTATTCGATGCATTTTAAAGTCATATATAATCGTGGCACACCAACATTTTCATTCGAAGAACAGTCAACAATGGGCCTCGGCCAGGAATATATCAGTCGCGAATACTCGTAGCTCCGGCGAGATTGTGCGATAACAGTGTCATAATTGACGCGCCGCTTCCCACTCTTCAATATTAACGCGACTTATGCAACGAGACTTATTTGTCGGCTCACATCGCTGACAAGAATCTCCGAGTCCCTTTGTCCCAAAGCCATTTTTTTTTTTATTAGATATCCAAACGCGCCACCTACGCGGCTCGCAAGTCGCGGTGGGAGGACCGTGAGAGAAGGGAGGACCGAGAGAGCGGCGATCCGCGATATCAGCGGCGTCGATGGGGTCAGATGGGGTTTCGATCGCTGATCCGATCCGCAGCGGCGCTAACCGCGTCCGTGTCACCTTTTCACCGCCGTCGGTACACATTGTTATTGTTATTCGACTGACTTGTAGACAGTCTGCTCTCCGGTATCTCGCGTTGAACGTCCGTTTATCAGACATAAATCAATCTCAACGAGTGGTCCAACTTGTTTGCAAAAAGGCGAGACGAAAGTAAGTCGGTCTGTGTTTCATTAAATGTCGAAAGTGTCGTTGTTCCTGCGATCGTCACTGTTGCGTCACGCGCTCCTCTCCGTGTTGTTGTTTACAGTGACATAATCGCGATGTGTCAGAAAAATAGCGTTTGAAGGAGAGGCTACCTTCGAGATACAAAACATATCTTTGCCAAGCAGCCACTCGGAAATTAAACGTCTGTGCGATGCGCGTCTGTCACGCTACGTGGAATACACGGACTGATTCAGCGATCTGTTGCACTACGTCGCAAAAATTGTCAGGATAAGGTGACTCGTGTGAAGCATGCCTGGAGGCAGACGAAACGCTGTCGGTCGGACCGGCGGGCCGACTGCCAGATCCGGTAGTGGTAACTCTGCCGCCGCCGCCGCCACCGCCAGTAATACTAACAACGGGAGAAGCAACAGCGGGGAACGAGTGAGTGCCAATGGCGCGGACGACAAGAGGCTCGACGAGATTTACCGTGGACTGTCCCTGGCGCCGAAGCACATTCCCATACCCGCGGTACCAGTCGACGGGCAGTTGAGCTTCGAGGCACTGTCCCTGGTCGTCTCGGTCATCGCAGCCTGCCTGCAGCTGCTTAATCTGTACAGAACCGTGTGGTGGCTACCAAATTCCTATAATGGTTACAGTATGGTACGTTATGTTGCAGTTGTGTGTTTATTGCACGTCTAAATTATGCTCGTGATGCTCGTAGAGGACTTATAATTGTAAGTGAGAAGATAGAAGAGCTGTGCACCAAGTTGTGATCTCTGGTGTGTGTGTTTCAGAACTTTTATTTGATAGACCCCTACCTACTTGTATTTATTTTCACCATGGTGGCGCATAGATTCCTTTACACACTGTTACGTCAGATCATCGATGTTTCATTGCCAGTTCGATCGGTACCCACAAAAATAGCAATCAGAGACATTATAAGGTATTATTGTATGTGATTTATTAATAGCTCGTGTGATTTGTAATAGTGTCAGGATAGCTCAACATTTATGTAATTTTATTTCAGGTCATCTCTGTCAGTTGCTGTGAAGAGTGTGCTAGGCTGGTGCCTGTATCATATGATTGAGAGACATAACTCTATGAAAATTTTTTATTTATGTTATCCGTGAGTATCTATTATATGAGTATGTTTAAATATATTAACTCTGCTGTTCTGTTTATATACAATTATATCGTTTGGGTTAAATATGATTTAAAAAACTCTAAAATGTGAAAAGTAAATTTTCACAGAGAAAAAATCTTATGTTAACAGACAAAGTCATCAAATATCAGAGAAAAGTTTTAAATAAAATAATAAGAAAATAAATTATATTTTGGATCAAATAGACTCGAACAGAACAACAGGATTAAATAATATGTTATTACTATGTCATATACATTTGTACTCTACAGTTAAAAATTTGAAGGTAAGAATAAATTGCTTATGATATCCATTTGTTCCAGAAGTTTGTCAGTATATTTTGTTATGTTTGGAATAAGAACAGCAACATTTTTTGATATATCGTTCTCGGGTGGAAAGGAAGAACGAAAAACAAAGTATGTATTAGGTAGGTATCATCACGCGCGTCTCGATCGTATTTTATCTATTTATATTATTTTTAAAGCCTAATTTTGACATGACTTTTCTATACAGACAAACCTTTGCACAATTGCTCATTAAACGCATCGGCCATCAGAGCGGAAGTGTCCACTTTGAGAATGGATTTTAACAGACGATTAAAGCGAGCTTTATTTTCGTCTTCCGGTAGCGCGTACGTCTGCGTGGTCGCGCCTATTATTTTTGTACCTCCGCATTTACATTTCAACGTATTGTGGGTAGTACAGCATGTAATCTTGTTCTGGCTCGGAAGGATATGCGCGTACTTTGCTCAGGCTTATCCCTTCAGGTGAATATATTTCTTTTGTAAATGTAAGAGTCGCCTGTCGATAATAAGATTTACATATGCAATATTATGTCAAATTTACATATGTATAATACGATCGACTTTTAGATATTGCGACGAGCTACACAAGGCAGCGATGCACTTGGGCCGATGGGTTAAAGTAGAAAATCGCAATAATCACATATATGCCCAACCGTGGAATGATGCGATATTGTGGCCTGACGGATCGATTGTGAGGCACAATCGTGAAATTTATCGTTCTGAAGGTTTGTGCACAGCAGCGGAACCGGGCAATCTAAATCACTCGAGATTTTATGTACGTGCTATTTATTTCTACCACAGCGAATAACGAAAAAAAATATATATATTAGACTCGATACTAATTATGTATTGTATCCCACAGGGTTTATTTAACAATCGGGTGACGCTACTAAGTCCAATACTGGGATTGCAATTATTACTGGTGAACATACAATTGTTTATTCTATTAGGCGTGACCGAATGGTATCAAATACTGTCGACGATATTACTATTAATTATACATTATTATACTTTATTCAAAATGGCCAGAGATTTTCTGATATCCTGGAAAGTCTACCGTGCTGAACAAATAATTCAAGAGAAGTCTCAAACAATTGTAATCCCAGTTGCTCAATAAAATGTGTGATTTCTGCATTTATTTTATATTGTTTTTTTAAAATATACTTATCAAATAAAATGAAAGAAAAAAAATTTTACTTATCCACGTAAGAAAATTTACACAAGAATTTAAAATACGCCACATGTTTTAGATTTTTGTTATAGCTTTATTGAATAAAATTAATATAATATATTAAATGCATTTATTTTGAAGAACAATGTGAAAGAATTTCAATACCAGAACTAGCTGATATGAAATCTAGTATTTCAAAGTCTATTAAAATTTGAAGATTAAATAATGCAATATTAAAAAGTATACATAAAGAATATATATGTTAGGGAAAACATGCTTCTAACATAGAAATATATTCTTTACATATATTCTTCATCAGCTAGTTATAGCTTAGAAAGTCTCTTGAAAATCTCAATCTCTTATAAATGCTCTAAATGGTTAATAGAAATATAGATAAATCAAAAGCATGGTTTTAAAGATAAACATAGCAGCCTAAGCCTTGTGCAATTATAATTTAATAAGCTTTGAAAAATAGTATAATGCGCATATATACGAATGCATAATTAATTCTGGAAAAGTGTGTGCGTAAATTCTATATAATCCAATGCAGCTGTTATCGGCCGTTCCGATTTGGGATCTACGTAAGGTTTCATACGGGCTACGCAATAATCGGCCATCTCCTTCGTGAGGTTCTGAAAAAAAATATATATATAGATTAACGAATATAAATCGCATTCTTCGTGATTATGGGAATGTTGATAAATATTCCATAGTATTTGCAACATTTACCGCATATAATTCCTCTTTCGTGACATAAGGCCGGTCCGCTGCAGTGATCGCTCGGAAAGCGTTCTCTATTTCCTCCGAACTCTGCACGTTCTCCGTTTCCTTGCTGATCATAAACGCCATGTATTCTTGCAACGATACGTAGCCGTCCCTATTAGGATCCACGATGTCTGCGAATAATAACATCGTGTTAAAATAGACGTTCAAAATATAATTAGAAATTGAACATTGAAATCAACAAAACCTAATATATTCTCGAATTCTGGATCAGGTTGCCCTTCTTCTATCATAGGAAGATCATAACCCAAAGCTCTCAAGCACGATTTGAATTCTTGATGATTCAGCCGGCCGCTCTTGTCCTTGTCGAAGTGCTTGAACATCATGGAGAATTCTTTGAGTGCATCCTCAGATACACCGGACTGGTTTCGCGCTTGAATCTGCTGTTCCAAATTGTGCTGCATACGCATTCCTAACTGATCCAACTGATCCCATTGCTGTGCTAATCCTACGGTACTGTGTTCTGTGTAACGATTGTCCAGAATTAGATGTTCCTCTAGAATAGCTCCCAGATCTTCGATCTTCTTCAGGTCTTGACGACGTGCGCGCACTTCTTGAGTTTTTCGCTATAAATTTGAATATAATTTACATACAACATAATCGCACAATAAATATAAATCTTGCATAAATGTATGTTTTAATTTAACAAACCTTGGTAGCTTCCAGTTGCTGTTCTAACGATCCGGATCCTTCCATCATAGATGTTCTGTAAAAGGGAATAAATTATTTACGTTTTTATCCCTAATTAAATAATTGTTGAATAAATAATAATTCCTTCGAGATACAAACCTTGTTTCCGCAAGCCACTGATGGAAGGCATTGGCATGCTTGGCGAATTCCTTACGCAATTTATCGTTCTCCTCCTGCCGCTGTGCTTCTTTCGTGAGCTCAACACTGCGTTCCATGATTATCTTCTGTAAGTTACGCCAAGTATCTTCCAAGGCCTCCATCGTGAACCACGTGTACGGATTCGGTCCGACGTTGAAGCTCTTGATCTGCCTGTCAAGAGCAGCCAGGGCTTGGAAGTCAGCCTCAGCCGAGGACAGGCTAGCTTGGAACTGGCCGTGCGCCTCGCGAAGAGCACGAATTTCTTCGATACTGTTGCAACGCACGGGATCCGTCAGATCCTCCTCGGCGTTCTCGAACCAAGAATTGAAGGCGGATGCCTTCTTCGCAAATGTCAGATAAAGCTCTTCAATTTGCCTGAATTGATCTTGCATCTTCAACAGACGCTGCTTTCTCGCATCCGAATCGGCCAGGAGTTTCTGCCAGCGAGTGATTACATCGGCGTGACGTTTCTGAATGCTGGGTGTCTGATCGTGACCGGAATCAACGAGCATTTCCTTCAACGAGGTGATATTCTGAATACCCTCGTGCTCGAAGGCATGCAGACCGGCGTCGAAAGTCTCCTGCTTCGTGAGCAGCGTCTGAACGGTAGACAGATCTCGGCCAAACTCCTCGGAGCGCACGTGAGTCTCCTTATCGGCGATCCATGACTCGACTACATCAGCCTTCCACATGAACTGCAAGTAGGCCGAGTTGTCATTCAGCCGTGTCTTCCTGCGGGCCGCGAGAGCTCCGAGTTGCTCCAATTTGTTGCGCAATTGCGCACATCTTTGACTGATAGCGTCCGCTCGATGATTGCCCGCTTTGATCAGCGTCTCGCCGGCCTCGCAAATATCCTTGCAGCGTTCGCCGTGAGCTGCGAAGTCGGTTTCGAATGCATCGTGCTTCTTCAGAAGACCTTGGACAGCAGCCATCGTGTCGCCGTAATCTTCAACGGAAAGTAATTGCTGCTTCTCTGTAATCCAGGCTTCCTCCTCTTCGACCTTGGCGAGGAATTGCTGATACGTCAAGGATTCATCCAACTTCTGTCCTCTAGTGGCGGCTAATTGCTTCAATTCAGCCCACGCCTGATTAAGAAGCTTCAGACGTTGTTCGATTTCAGGTACTCCCAGATTTGAAACGTCCATCAATTTTTCTCCTGCTTCCTGGACAGCTTGAATGGCAGGTTCATGACTGCCGAGTTCAGCCTCCAATCTTTTGTGCTTCTTCTTCAGGTTCTGCACGCCCGTAAGGTCGCGGCCGTAGTCATCCGATCCGACAAGCAGCTTCTTCTCCTTGATCCAAGACTCTTCGTCGGCAATGTCGCGGAAGAACTGATGCAAAGTGTTGGCTTCGTTGAGTCTCGCCTGTCTGTGTGCTGCCAAGTTCCTGATTCGCTCGTAACGCTCGTTTATGCTCTGACGTTTCTCCTGAATGCCGGCAGCGTCAAACTGACCGCTCTCAATCAGCGAATCGGCTTGTGCATTCATATCCTTGATTCTTTCCTCGTGCGCCTGTATATCCGCCTCGACAAGTTGATGTTTCTTCATGAGATTTTGCACGGAGGCCAAATCCTTGCCGGCATCCTCGGATGTAAGCAAACTCTCGACTTCGCCGAGCCAGAAATCAAGATCCTTCACCGCAGCAATGTAAGTGCGCTGCTTATTGGCTTCCTTCAGCTTCATGGACTTCTCTGTGGTCTTTTGCGTAAGGTATTCCCACTGATCAGCGATGGACGCCAATCTCTTTTGCACCGCGTCCTCCGAACCGGCACATTGATGCTTTTCGATTAGATTGCCTCCCATAGCGAGTACCGACTGAATTCGGTCCGCATTGGCTGCCAATTCGGCTTCGAAAGCCTGATGTTTCTGATGCTTTGACTGTATGTTGGCGGGATCTTTGTAATTCTCCTCGGTTGCCAGCTGAAGTTTCTCAGCAATCCAATTCTCCATTTCATCGGCGTCTCGAGAAAACTGTTGCAAAGTCTGAGACTCGCCCAGCCTCGAGCGCTTCTCGATAAGAGCGTCCTTCAAGTGCCGCCAACGATCCAATACCTGGCATCGTCTCTCGTCGATGGGCTTAGCGGCGTAATGCTCGGCAGCGATCAGCTGATCAGCCAGAGTTTGTAAGGTGGCGATCTTCTCTTCGTGAGCGTTGATCGCTTTGTCGAAATCTTCGTGCTTCTTGATGAGAGCCTCAACGTTGTCACTGCTGTCTACCGCGTCTGCACTGCTGAGGAAAGCCTCCCGCGCGCTCATCCAATTCTCCGCCTGCTCGCAATCCCTGCAGAACAATTGCAGTTCGAGGTTCTGATCGAGCTGCATACGTCGTTGGATCCAAGCTTTCTCCAACTCTTGTCGGGCCTCAGCCATAGACTCAAGTTTCTCCAGTATCTCCACGCTGGCGTAATGGCTGGATTGCAATAGCTGTTGGCCGAACAATTCGAACGCCTGGAAAGTACCTGCTCTAGCATCTATCTCCATCCGGTGCTCCTATACAGAAAAATAAAAAAATTTATAAAGTGAATTATGATTCGATTCTCGAGTATTTTATGCCAGTACACAACTCTTTGTTTGTTATGTGATATGATCAAATCCATTCGGCAGATAGATATTACAAGCAGAAAGGTAGTGATTACGCGATTAAGCATTGAAAATACTCAAACTGTTAATAAGCAGTATTTTCATTGCAAAACTTCGGCACGATCAATCAGCCTCTTCTCGTAAAAGAAAAAGAAAAAAAAATCAACGAAACGGATTACGCGAAATTAATTTTAGGCATTCTCGCCAGGCAACTTCGCGACTTCCCTGATACATGCTCAAACGTTCTTATACCTCTGGAAGTATGCCGTATCGCGCATCTATCTCTGCTCTGTGATTCTACAATTTAAATGACTTGGTGAAGGATTTGTCGGTAAATGATTGTGATGACTGTGTCTTGATCATGCTTACAATGGAAAACATTTTTACCTGATGGCGTTCGAGCAGTGCCTCGGCACCTGTGACGTCCGATGCGAGCTCTTCGGAAGCGACCAGGCCCATCATCGAGTTGATCCAGGCCATCAAGTCGCGATAATCACTGAGGAAACGTTGCAGATCGTACGAATCCAGAAGTTTCTCCTTTCTGCTGTTAGCTTTGGCCGTCAATTGGGTCCACTCTTCGTTGATCTCCTTCTGCTTGGCGTACGTTTGCTCGGCAGTCTCCGGATGCGACTGCATCAGGCGATTAGCCGTCTCATCAAGCTGCTTGATCTTGTCTCCCAAAGCCGCCAGATCTCTCTCCAGACCCTCGTGTTTGCGCTGCAGAGCCTGAACACTTCGCAAATCCTTGCCAAGATCGTCATTGTTCAGCGCCGCGTCCTTCTCGCGAATCCAGTCCTTCGTTTCGTCGACGTCACGATGGAAGCGTTGCACCTCGTGAGCAGAGCCGAGCTGATTGGCTCGTTCCGCCGTGAGCGTTTGCAAGCTGGTCCATTTCTCGTTCAGATCCTGGATTTGCGTCTGAATCTTCAATGCCGCCTCGGTCTGCCCGAGGCTCATCAGCTGCACGGCGATCTCGTTCATCTCTGCCAAACGCACTTCGTTCGCCTTGAGATCAGCTTGGAAGTCGTCGAACTTCTTCTGCATAACTTCCACCTGTTCCAGATCTTCGCCCACGTCCTGCACCTGAGCGTGATTCTCCTTGTCCTTGATCCAAGTAGCCAACTCCGCGGCTTCTCTCACCAATACATAAGCCTTCGCTGTTTCGTTAAGCTTGTTTTGACGTTCGCGCGCTAAACGCAAGAGATCGTCGTATTGCCCCTCGATCTGCGCTTGTCGCGCGGCGATCGAGCTCTGCTCTCTAGCCAAGTTCTGTTGGGAAGCGCTGAGACCCACCTCGGGTTCCACGCGCTTCACGTATGCTGCCGGTACGAAACCTTGGCGATCGTTTACCTCAACCTTCCACCAATCCTTGTTGTTAGAGTTGAGCAGAGTCAGAGTGTCGCCCTTCTTCATGGACACTTCTCTGGGAGACTTCTCAGTGTAGTCGTAGAGGGCCACGACACACTCCTTGCCGGTGATGTCGATCGTGGGTGTCTCTTGCTGTCTGCACGCCCCAGCTTGATCTCGCAGTGCTGCGATGGTGCTCGCGAACGCTTCTAGATCGCTGACCAAGGCCTCGTGCTTCTTCAGAAGAGCCTCGGAGCTGTCCTCGTCCTTGCCGTAATCGCCGTTCATCACTATAGGACGTTTCTCCTTCATCCACGATTCAGCTTCGTTCGCGTCGGCGAAATATTGATGCGCCTGCAGAGAGTCGTCCAAGTCATTCTTACGTTGCCGAGCCTTATCTTTCAGCTGTCCCCAGTGTTCGTCCAAAGCCGCCAGTCGTTGATTAATCTCCTCAGCTGCAAAGTGTCCCTCCTGCAACATCGACGAGCCCGCTTGACAAACCGCGGCCACTCTCGGCTCGTGGTTATTGATTTCAGCCAAAACAGCCTGGTGCTTCTTCTGGAGATTCTGCACGCCGATCAAGTCACGGCCGCGATTCGTGGACGCCGCAACTGGCTCCTTCTCGCGAATCCACGCTTCCTCGTCCTCGATATCTCGAAACAGTTGCTGCACTTGCAGCGAGTCCAGGAGTCGTTGCTTCCTCACACTCATCGGACGCTGCAGAGCGGCGTATCTAGCTTGTAATTGGTCCTGCTTAGCTTTGATATTGTCAGCGTCAAAGTGGCCCGAGTTGACAAACTGTTCGGCCGCTTGAGTGATACTGTCGATCCTGTCCGCGTGAGAGCCCACATCAGCTTCGAGAAGCGCGTGTTTCTTCTGCAAGTTCTGAACGCTCGTCAGATCTTTGCCGTAATCCTCTGACATGAGTTGTCCCTCCACTTCCGAGAGCCACAGTTCGATATCCTCTACCGTTCGATTGAACTGCTGCTGCTGGGAGGCTTCCTGTAATTTCGCACCTTTCTTTTCGGTAGCCCGCGTCAAGCTCTCCCACAGTGTCACAATCTCGTCCGAGCGGGTGCGTATACGGTCGCCAGCATAGTGACTACTATCGATCAACTCCTGACCGGTGGCCACCATCTCCTCCATGCGCGTCCTGTTCGCGTTCAGTTCCTGCTCGAAATTCTGATGTTTCTGGACTTTACCGTTCAGATTAGTGGGATCCAAGTAACTGTCGTCAGTAGCGAACTTAAGCTTCTCGTTAACCCAGCCCTTCGTTTCGTCGCAGTCCCTCTCGAATTGTTGTAGCTTGTACGCGTCCTCCAGACGTTGACGTCTTTGGGCTGATTTCTCGAGGAGAATAGCACGTCTCTCCAACAACAGTTGTCGTCGTTGCGCCACGTCATCCGCAGCATAATGCTCGCCCTCGATCAACTTTCCAGCAAAGTCATCGAGCACCTTGATCTTCTCCTCCTGAGCCGCCAGTGATTTATCGAAGTCTTCGTGCTTCTTAATAAGCGCCTCCACGCTGTCGAGAGAATCTCCCAAGTCTTCGTTGGCCAGAAACGCTTCCTGTTTGGCCATCCACGCGTCCGCCTGCTCGGTGTCTCGATAGAACAGCTGCAAATCTACGCATTGCTCGTACAAGATACGTCTCTTCTCCCATAGACTCAAGAGAGACGACTTATCATCGGCGAGGGAGTTCAATTTACGTGCCACTTCTTCGGCAGCGTAATGCTTCTTTTCTAGAAGCTTATTACCAGCCAGTGTGGTTGCATCGAAGCTATCGGCTCTGGCGTCGATTTCTCCCTTGTGTTCCTGATGTCGGTCGACCAAAGCCTCGGCGCCGGCCACGTCTTTAGCTAGCTCGTCGGCGGAAATGATGGCGCGCATGTCGTTCATCCACGAGACCAAGTCGCGAAAATCTGCTAAGAATCGATGCAAATAATAAGATTCGTCAAGTTTAAGACGACGTTCTTTCGCTTTTGCGGTAAGGCTCTCCCACGACTGCAAGATCTCGGCGCGCTTAGCTTGAATCTGCTTGGAGTGGTCAGCTTCGTGAATCGCGGCGAGACGATCGGCTTCCGCACCCAGTGTATACACCTTGTCTTCCAGAGCGGCCAAGTCGCGCTCGATACCTTCGTGTTTTCGCTGTAACGTTTGCACACTGGCTAGATCACGTCCGAAATCGTCAGACGACAAGACAACGTCCTTCTCCGCGATCCAAGCCATGGTCTCATCGGCGTCGCGATTGAATCTCTGAATCTCGTGCGCCCCGAAGAGCTTCTCCTGTCGCAGTGTGGCCAATTGTTTCAATCTTTGCCAGGATTCGTTAAGCTCTTCCTTCCTGCGTAAAATCGTGTCCCGTTCGGGATGTCCGTCTAACAGCAATTTGTCCGCCAGCTCGTTCACCTCGGTAACTCTATACTCTTGGCTTGCCATGTCCTTCTGGAATTCGTCAAATTTTCTTTGAAGCACCTCCACATGCTCCAAGTCGTGTCCAAACTCATCGGTTGTTACAAATGCCTCCTTGTCGTGAATCCAAAACATCACCTCGTCGCAGTGACGAATGAACTGTACGAGAACTAAAGCCTGCTGTAGTTTCAAGCCCTTGTCAGCTAATCGAGACAGCAGCAGCTCCCACAGGCGATGTAGCTCCTCTTTAAATAATTAAATATATCACATTAAAAATCAAGCAGTTTCTCATATATATAATATGCTCGCAATTATAATATTTTCATAAGTCATTTTCAGTCCATAATTGAAGTAAAATGACATTATTAAAACATTTTATATATTCTAAATTTAGACAATTTGAGAAAAAGATAAATCACTATTCATAAAACATTAAAACATTTTACACATTTTAAATTTATCTTATATAATTTGAAAAAAAAAAAAAAAGATAATTCAAATCATTATTTATGAAACATTAAAACATTCTGCACATTTATGAAACATTCTGCACAACATGCTAAATTTATTTTATATTTCATGATTTGAGAAATAGGTAATTCAAATCGCACTGTTTATGAAACATCAGGTTTCAATTTTTGAATTGCTTAGAAAATATTAATTATTAGATTTTCGTAATATTTTTGCAAATACATAAAAAGTTACATAATATACTTCAACAATTTCAAATGATCTCGAACAGAAATTGATATCTCTGGTACTTAATCATACCTAATCTCTTGCGAATTACATCGCTAGCGAAATGATGTTGAGCTATCATCTCGGAGCCAGTATTATCGAGCAGCACGATGGCATTTGAATGAGCGGCAACTTCTGCTTCAAATGCCTGGTGCTTCTGGATCTTCGCCTGTAGATTAGTCGGATCCTTGTAACTCTCGTCGGAGGCCGCTTGGTGCTTCTCGTAGATCCATCCTTCGAGTTCGTCCGCATCTCGCTTGAAGTACTGAAAGAGGGGTGCAAGGTGAGCGCGATGAACATTAACAAACAATTACAATATAAGTAACGATCGATCCGGAGAAATTGAGAAAAGTAAGAGCACTCGGATATACGTACTTGAAAGCGACGGGAGTCCTCGAGCTTGTCCCGCTTGCTGCGCGCCTCCGACTTGAAGTTGGCGTAGCGTCCCAACACCTGCTCTCGCCTCTCCTGGATGTCCTCCGGATTCTCGAGGATCTTCACCTCCTTGGGCGTGATTTGATCCATGGCTGGGCAGCGATCTTTAAAATAACTTCCACGAACCGCTGTCCAAAATGGCCACGGTGGGGTGTGGCAGGATCAATTCGCTGCCGGAATCGATAAGCGTTCTTCCACACAGGTAGGCAAGATCGTCGAATGCGCGCGCGACGATAGATCGTTTCGTCGATAAGCGGAAACAACGGAGAGAGATTCCCTCCGAATGGAATTCGCTCGCGAGCCCGCAAGCTCGCACTCAAGTTTCGTCTGCCACGATTGACGTCCCGACGATTCGACCGGATTCTTTCTGCACTCGGCACTCGGCAGTCGGCACTCTGCGTAGTCCCACCACTGCGCGATCCGGTGAACGTTCCGCTGGCACCTCTCACCGACGACACCGACTGGACACTCGGTCGGCTCAGTGACGCTCGGTCAAACTTTGTACCAATCACAGCGAGGATACAACCGCCTTGGATAGTTGGATTTAGTCGGTCAGGTTATATATAACCGTTGCATCATTACGGTAATCGTCAGAGTTGCTCCTTTCGGTATTTACATACATACACACATGTATGATATGATATATAATGTATGTACATACATACGTATATTTTATATTTATAAACAAAACTAAATTAATAGTAAAAGGGAAAAAATATCCTTGACTTAACAAATTGCGCGCGTAATAACATTATGTAAACTTTCTTTATATCTTTTCTACTTTTACTGTTCCAGTATCCATAATTCGTTAAAATTTATATTAGAAAATTAAATATTTAATATACATAGAAGTAAAATCTATAACGCATTTGTGTTAACTGTTGCATAATAATTATGGTTGTTGAATATTTTGATAATTATAATGATATAATCATGAAAATTTTCTCTATATTGTGATATTCAAAAATGGAATTATTTTGTATAAATTATAACAAAATTATTTTATCGACAGATTTTCTCGATATAGTGGTAAGTTTTCTGGATAGAAAATGAATTTACCGACGGTGATAATTTTCTTATCGACATTGCAGCAATATTTATATACCGATGTATAGGATTGATAAAATTATCGACAAAGATAATTATACGAAATAAAAATTGTAAAAATCGAATTTTTAAAAAATCTGAGATACAAAGAATATATATATATATATAATTATAATATTCCACTTGCAAGAGAAAATATAAATATAATATACAGAACAGCAGAAGATTGTACATACCTAACTAGCAATATTTACAGTAATTCAATAAAAACATTTCGCATAAACTGTACATATGCGATTGTGTGACGTTTATGTGACAACGTCACATTATCGAGTTGGCATTGAGCGGTAAAACCACCTTAATTGTATTTGTAATTATTAATTACATTGCTAAAATTTTATATTTTAATTTTGTATATTTTATTCTTTAATATTCTTTATACAGAAAATGATTATATTAGATAAAGTTAAAATCTAAGAAAATAATTTAAGAATATTTCTTCAATTTAATTAAATTTAAGAATATTTATTACGTATAGGGAATAAAATAAAATCGCATGAATATATATATATTATGATACAATAATCTTTTATTAAATTTCACCTACAAACAACGAATCACAGAACGTTACATTAGAGTTCCTTACGTCAATCCATCGTGTTTTCATATATTTTACAGGTAAATAATTATGTATTTATCTCTATTATAGTAAAGTCTTATTTGTTAAAATATCTCGTAGTGTAGTGGATTGTTATGTATATGTAAATTTAATTTACCTAAAAATAGGATTTCTGTTGTAGTGTCCATTCATTGTTTATAAGTGTCCGTTATCATGTATAGAAGTGGTATACTATAGGTACTTTTGTCCATTGTACTCTGATATATCTTCTTTTTTTTATCATTATTAATAGTATTATTAATATTATTACTATTTCCCGCCGATACATTGTATTCGAAGTACGATAAAAGTCACCACGTACCAAAGAACTTTTCGCTGAATAAAATTACAAAATTCAATTCATCACAAAAAACGATGTTAGGGCTTTATATGTAAAGGGCTTTTAAGTACCTGGACAAAGTGACGGCATTTACGATTACAAATCGCTAGAACTTTTTTATATGCATCTTTTTTTTTGTTAGAAGGCAACACGTCTTTGTTAATACGAGAAGGCAATTTGCTTTGTATCATCGGTATATCTGGTGTCCCAAAAACATCGGATCTGACAAGCACCGTCTGCGTGGCTCGACTCGAAGGGCGTCGTCGACTCGAGCGACAAGAGGTGACAAAAGGGACCGTTTACAGGCATTATTGGCAGCACTGGATCCACTGTTCAAATGTACTGTATATTTCGTTTCTCCGATATATCCCGAGGCTGTAATGCGACAAATCGGCCTGTGTTACGCGCGATCGGCTCACGTATAGTCGTCGCGCGTGATCTAGCTAGACGCTCCTCGTCTTCGCTCCTCTCCTTCCCACCTTCCACATCGTTCCACACTTTCGCCCGCGGACATGATTATCGCGGGGATAACCAGCATTACGTTCTTCCTAAACGTAAATAATATTTTTGACGATTTCCTCTTTATGTACAAAACTTAGGGCTATAGGATACACTTGCACTCGCGCGCGTCACGCGTCCCGGGGCGCCAATAAGTTAAATTTTACTCTAGAGTTACGCATTTTTTTTTCTTTATTATTACGCTTCCCGTTCGCGTCGGGCGGGCTTCTCTGTGTTGTACGTGCGACGTCTCCTGATCAGTCTGAGCATGCGAGACCAACGATTAATATACGTGTGTATATATATGTGCGTTACGACTGCGACTTTAGAAGGCTCGAGCGCGAAATCGGCGCTCCCGAACGTATAAAATTCGTTCCCCGATATAAAGTATATAAGAACAAACTAGATAGTGTATAGAAAGTTTCGAAAGAGAAAGAGACGTCGCGCGAGACGGTTAAAAGCGCCCTACGCGTGTCGCCAAGACGCCAAAAAACTCATAGAGACACATCAAGTCGCTCCATTTTTACTACATAACATACAATAGATATATTTATATAATATATATAATATTCAATAATATATATATATTTTTTACTAAAGGTATTTTTTTATATTTATATACAGAGATATAATCGTCCTCATCGATAATCTTTACGAATTAGTAACACTAGGTTGCTAAATAATAATTTTCTTGGACCTCGGTGTGCGTGTGTGTATGTATGTACGTGTATGAGTTGTGTATATATTAGCCAGCACCTTGCGTTGTTGAACCCTCACGAATCGGAAGGGCCAATCCCTTCCGCTTATACTTAAAAAAATATAATGTGTACCCCTCCCTGAGCTCGCTCCGTGAAACTTCGAGAGACGCTTCTCATCCTTTCCCGTTCCACTACACATCTCGTCTCCTCTCCTCCCTCCCTCCCTCTCTCTCTCTCTCTCTCTCCTCTCCTCTCCTCTTCTCCCCGTATCGTAAAATCCTTTTCACAGCCCTCATTTCGTTTCATTTTTTTTTTTTTTATAACTTTCGTCCGTTTCCATACGTTTTCCATTTTGCGCAGATCACGCGCGTAACAATTTTCTTAGGTAACATATATAAACGTCTAATATACAATAAATAATTTGTCGTTTTTTCGAATATACAATTTTTTTTCTTCGCTTCCCGGTGCTTCGCGGCTTAAGTAATTTGTCCACGGCGTTCCCTCCCGCAAGGTACACCAGATAGAATATCTTTAGTTTCACATTCTCGACGCGTTGTAAGAACTAAATTTTGTACAAATTTTCAACGAGCCGGGCGCCGCCCTGTCCCGATCCTGACGCGGCGATTCGGACGCGCGAGAAAGAAACGGGCCGCAGGAGAAGGACGAGGTATTGGGTCGGGACCACCTCCGACGACGTCGTCACACGCGGCGCCTTAATATACATTTACATAGGTATAATACAAGGAACAAACGAAGCCAGAGAGAAAGACGGGAGTAGAGAGAGAAGCGGGTAGGGAGAGAGATAGACGGAAAGAGAGAGAGAGAAAAAAAAAGAAAGAAAGCGGAGAAAAGGAGAACGCGTTTTACAACATCTGAGGGGTGTGCCAGGTCGGCGCGTCTCGGTGGAGAGAACCGCTGAACGGCGACCTTACGCGCGGATGGGGCCCCGCGACGGGTCCGCGACGTCGCATCAGCGACGACAACGACAACGACAACGGCGGTGGTCGACGTCCGCGCGGGGCCCGCGCCGAGACGCCGTCGTGCTGCTGTTCCTCCTTCCTCTGCCTCTCGTGCCCCGCAGGACGGGCCGACTCCCTGTCTCATGCGCCCGTACAATCGATCTCGACGATGTCCTTCGGCACGTCGACGAACTGGTAGACCAGCCGCTGGCCGTCCACCTTCGCCAGGATACCGCGCTGGTAGTAGTAGCGCAGCGCCCTGCCCATCGTCTCGTAGTTCATGTCCGGTTTGTTCTTGTGTATGCCCCAGAGCCGCGAGACCGCTTTGCTGTCGACCAGCTTGAAGATGCCCCGCTCGCGGTTCGTCCATTTGATGTAGCGCGGGCAGTACTCGTGGTCCTGCAACAGCTTGAGCAGGAACTCCCACAGGTACGTGGTCGAGCCCTCGCGCGACTTCCGCTTCACCGCGGCGCCGCCCTCGCCGCCCTGCCGCGGCTTCTTCAGCTTACTCTTCTTCGAGCGCGACGGGAAGCCGAGCTCGAGCAGGTAGAGGTCGTCCGAGACCGAGCTGGTGGCCGCCTGGATCACGCTGGTGGGCACGCCGCCGGGTCCCCGCGGCGGGCTCGGGGTGCAGGGGGTCGCAAACTGCCCACCCCCGCCGTACATGTTTATGTAACTGTTGTAGCTGTCGGAAACTGAAAAAGAGAAGAGGAAACGGTACGCGATTAGAAAGAGTCTCGCTAATCTCCGCGTTGTTATTTATAACGCTCTATCTGTATAATATCTGATTTATAACGATCTATGACTTTTTATAGCTGCTGGCAGGCACTTGATTACAATGATTCTAATGATCGTAATGGTTTGTATCTTAATCTGCCTTTTTTTGCTCGCTACGCAACAAGCGTTTAATTATATCTCGAGGCACGTATAGGACAATAGCATGTGGAAGCCACTTAAACGTTCATAAGAACCAATATCGCTGCACACAATTATCGTACGGAAACAACTTCGACATCCTGTCGATAAAAAAAAAGAAGGGGGGCCCGTCCTTGAAGAGACACGCGCTCTAATCGCATCCCGAACGAATCCTCGACGCCGCAGAGCAACGTTTATTATCTCAATTCGCGGCGAAGGGTCGGTGTCAGCGCGGTTTTATCGCGTTAGGTTCTCGCACCACGCGTGGCTTAAGGGTGATACGTCGCAGTTGCGACGTGCAATCAAGTATTAATAGCCTTGCCGTTCGCGCGAAGCGGCAAGGAGGGAAAAACGTCGTTTATCGCCCATCGTCATTGTCGCGTCGCCGTCGATGCCGTCTCTCGTCGTTTCTATCCGACCCGATTGATCGACGCGCGAGTGGACGCTTTCGATAGCTCGCCACCTGTTTCCGCGTGTCTCACCTCGCCCTCGCCATCGTCTATCTATACGTATCGTCCATATACTTTCGCGCTAAATATGTACTCTCTCCGGTTTTGCTCGAGAAAACGGAAGAAACGGGTAATCATCGAATTCGCGAGATCTGCTGCCTATGCGCGATATTGTGATTTGATCGGGAATGGATGCCCCCGCGCGAATATCGATCGCGTCGGTACGATCGTACTACAGAGAGCGAGTGCACACGATCTGAGTTTGTGCCGCGAGCATGGGGCCGTGCTCACAGTCCATGGGCGTAGGAAAACGAGCCGGACGTGCTGCGAGAATCGCCGCGGTTCCTCCTTCCCAAACGAAAGGGGATTTCTCTCTCTTTCCCTCTCGCGAAATTTTCGCATTGAAACCACAGCGGCGATCTCCCAGGGAACCGTCGAGTTTTCAGCGAAATTCTCGCACGAAAATTCAATAAGAGGGGCCCGCCTTTTAAAAATCGAGTTTGGTCCAGAAAGTTTTATAACTTAAAGCCCACTTGTACGTCCGTTTCTCGGTCTCGACGAAATTTGTTGGCCGGAATCGTATCGGCTTTGTGCAGGAAAAAGATAAGTTCAATCTTCGGAGGGACTATCGCGGAGAGATATCGGAGGAAGTTGAAGTTTCGGAATTCGGCAAAAACATTATCTCGGCAGACATTCGTGGGAGAATTAATTTGAGAGAAAAGAAACATCTTTGAATATGCTTATATTTAGAAAGAAGAAGATATCGTATTGTAGCAGATAAAAGCAACTATAGTTTCGAAAACAAAAAATCTTTTTACATCAGCGAACGTGGCTTTTCACGTCAGTTCAGCACGGCATTTTGTACGTGAAAGAAAAAAAAATTTTCAAGCCGCGACACACGTAAGTATATACGCGCAAAGTGCGCGCCGCGCGTTGTTATGTCGAAAGAAAGCGAAAGTCTCGAAGCCTGGTCGCGAGATGAATCTCATGCTCTTTATATCGGAGCTGAGTAACCAGTGTCGCCACGCGGCTCCCACAGGAAAAAAAAAATGAAGACATTCTCAGTATTTCGCGCCTACGTGCACGCGAACGATGAACGTTATATGAGCGCCGAGCGAAAGCAAAAGTTTCGAGGCACTGCTATATGTACGCGAGGCGGCTGAGAAGCTCTTTTCCCCTTTACGCCACTGGGTCGAGAGGAAGAGGAGACGGACCGAGATAAAAGAGACGAGAAGAGGGAGTGAGAGAAAGAGAGAGGGAGAGAGAGAAAGAGAGGGTTAAAGCGGCGAGTCGAGCGCGGCGAGGAGAGCGAGCGAGAGGGGGATGAGACGAGGAAGGGGAGGGAGGAGGAGGGAATCGGGGAACTCTGCCTGCAGTATGATAGAGGACTGACCCGAGCCAAGGTTGCACGGGTGACGCCATCAAGCTACTAGTGCATAATAGCGCCGCTCGTTCTGAGGCCGCCGCGACTGCGCTAAAATCGGAACTCGTTCTCCGGCCCCCTCGCGCTCCCTCCCGCCACCCGTTCGCCACCCTCCCTCGTGTGCCTAGCCTTCCTCGTCGTCAACCCTCTCTCTTCCTCTCCCTCCTTGCCATATTTCTTTTCCGTCCTCTGTCGCTCTTTCTCTTTCTCTCCGCGTTCATCTCTCTCTCTCTCTCTCTCTCTCGCGCCTGCATCCTTCTATCGCGTCGCGCGTGTTGCAGTTCCGTGGAGTCCCGCGCGGTTGAACGATCCTCGGGCACTATTCGAGGTTTTCTGGTTTGTGGACCGACGAGACGAGAGAGAGGAGGCTGCAGGGAGCGGGCGAGGGGGAGGGAAACGGGAGAACATTTACTTGACGGTATTATCTCTCCCACCGGAGTGTGATGGAGCGGCGAAGTAACAAGCAGTCGTATACACGAAGTAACGGCGTTTCATGTATACACACGACATGTCGCGTTTTATTTATGTATGTCAAAACAATTTAACGCGAAGGCATTGAAAAATCATACGAAATCGTCTCGAAACTGCAGAGACCGGGAGGATCTAAACAGACGGAAATAGACGCTTTATTATGCCACGAGCGAGAATCTCCAAATGAGATTGAATTACGTTTGAAGGTAATTGCAGAGTCAGATGAAGCAGAGAACAACGAGCGAAAGTACTAAATTCACATAATAAAGGAAATAAAAAACGGAGAATAATTTATTCGAAATTACTCGCAAGATATACAATAACATTGTACATTTCTGACTCGTGATATACCGACATAACCGACGTAACGCGACAAGGTTTCAATAACTGTAAGGGCTGCGGTATAAATAGCGCGAAAGAAATGAAGCAAGATTCCAAGAGAGGAGAGAGAAAGAGAGAGAGAAAGATGAGGGGTAAGAGGGAGGAGGGAGGAGGGGACGAAAAACAAGAGAACGGCAGGGGAGCGGAAGATTTTCGAGGTGGCTCTAAAAATACGGAGAACGCGCCGTTGTTCTCGGGAAGTACGCGCATATATGCGCGGGTAGAACACACGCGCGGGAACGCTGCACGAGGAAACGTTGGAGTTGGTTGAGCGCTCCAGGAGCGCTGGAACAGAAAAGAGAGAGAGAGAGAGAGAGAGAGAGAGGCAGAGAGAAAGAGAGACCTAGAAAGTGAGAGGAAGGCGGTAGTGGCAAGAGACCCCGAGAGCGCACGAGAAACAGCTGGAGCGGATCGTGTTTACGCGCGGTATGACTGGCTAGATGAGTCAATCGTAGACCCGTTGTCTAGGAGGCCGGCGCGGTGGGGGAACTGCTCCTACTTCACTGACCTATACCACGAGCGTTGTATAGCGCAGGAAAGCACCGCTAGAGACGACGCATCGCCAGCCGATGAGTCTGGTGCGCGCCGCGTCGCGCCACGCCGCGTCGAGATCGGATAGAGAGGATTCCTAGAAGTCGGTAGTCTAGGATCTCACGATCGGGAAGCGTGAATGGAATACATGTATAGATTAGTTCGATGGTCCCGGAATCGATCGATTTCTTTTTCCCAAATTCAAGCTCGAGCGTAAGAAAATCAGGATGCGGGATTTGCCTACAGAAAAGGTGCGTAAGGATGGAGATCTCTGGAAGCAGTGAAAGATTATGATACTAACGATCGAAAACAAGGAAACGATGCGCGAATGAAATGAAGTTTTGAATATCTCAGGATTGACAAATACATATTTAAAAATTCGATGAAAAATTTAAATGTCTTCCTTGAGGAAGAATGAGTCACGAATCCTGACAAATCGGCGATTTAAGGCTTTAGAAGAGCAATGTCATTTATTCGCGATGATAAAAGTATAAAATCTATATGAATTGCAAGAGATTCTCACATATAATGTTTATAATTCTATAGCGAGAACAAATATCGCAACGTAATGAATTGCAAATACCATTCTAGTTGTTTCTATACTAGTTCATGATAAACGTTTAATTGTTATTTGGAATTAAAAATATTCGGGGATAGATAAAGACGCGAAAAGAGACATCAGATTCGTTATTATTTCTCTCTGTCTCTCTTTTTCTCTCCATGTATTGCATAGAATTACCATTACTACCACGTCGATGGTACCACAAAGCGCAGCCGGAGGTCGACTTAAGGCGATCATTGGTCGAATTTAAATTCAAGTTTCGCTCGGCCCGACGAGACGATGTTCCGCGACAATGAAACGACAGTCTAATGCGTCCCCGAGGCCGTATTAATCTTCTACTTAAGCGACATTCTTCGGCTCTTGTAACTGGCTCGCAAACAAGGTGGAGGACGAATGAGCGATTACAGGTTTAGGGAACTTTCAGAAAATCCAATTACGCTTAATGAAATGTTCGTAATGTCTGAATAAAATATCAATAAAGCTATTCCAACTCCTAACAATAAAAAGAAGAGAATTTTATTATTGATCCGTATATATCTTCGATTTAGAGAGAGTGTTTACACATTCTCTTATATGTTCCCTATTATACAAGAGATTTAATGTTTGCACAAATCAATTTATGTACGTATAATTCCTCCATAAAATCAGTCCATTATTAACAACGTCTAATATCTGTAACTTTAATCCAAATGTTATGTTCGCTACACGCTGTATGTTATATGGCGTTTGACTAAAGAGGATCAGAGTGATAAAATTTAAGTTAGAAGAACTATTGTCCCGCACTATATATATATATATAAAAATCCGAAATAATTTATATGTATATACTTGTGAAATCTTTAACAAATTTTTATCATAGTAGAAAGTTTTTTTAGGGCAGAACATTCCCCGAACATCACCATCTATATTCATTCTTTTCAGATTCACAATAAAAAAATCGACTGTGCCTTAAAGATCCAAGAT